GTATGTTGGAAGTGATTGGGGCCGTGGGGTCTAGATCAGGGCTATGTTGAAGGCTTTGCTGCTGTTATGTTTTGCGGCCATGTTGGTCCACTTGGCTGCTTTTTCTCTGCCCTGTTTGACTTGGCAGGTGGTTTTTTGCGTGCTGTGCGTAAAACGCCATAAATCCATGAACATGAGGTCCGACAAGTGTAAGAAAGGTGGCTTTGACAGTTTTGTCGTTTTTGTTGCTTACGAAAGCTTGCTCCAATGGGCAGTCAAATTTGGGGCATGTTTGCACCAATCTTCGGCGATCTTGGTGCATTCTTAGGGCATATCCTTCTCCATGTTGGCACGTTTCGCCCAATGTTGGGGCTCTGTTGGGGCTTCTCGTGGAGGTATGTTGGAAGTGATTGGGGCTGTGGGATCTATGTTGAAGGCTTTGCTGCTGTTATTTTACTTTTTTGCGGCGATGTTCGTCGACTTGGCTGTTTTTCTCTGCCGTTTGACTTGGGCAGGTAGTCTTTTTGCGTCATGTGCGTATAACATCGTAAAAACCCGACAGACTTAGGTCCGACAAGTGTAAGGTTATATACTTGTTTTCTCTGCCGTTCGACTTGGGCAGGTGGTCTTCTGCGTAGTGTACGTACAACACCGTTAAAGCCATGAAAAAAAGAGGTCCGACTACCCAGCAATAAAATGCAGCTGCTCCGCTTTCCGTGTTTTTCCGAACTGGTTTGCAGACCTTTTGACGAACTTGAGCTGATTCAATTCAAACTTCGAAAGACTCCACAGGACTTTTTCGAACAGTGGAACGTGCTTTACAGTGTTCAGGCCTCAGATTCTATGCAACTGACCCAACTGTTTCCCTCAAAATGGACTAGGATGAGTATAGGATAAGTAGAATCATGTCAGATCGTTGGGTTTTGTAAAACCGGATCCAACCGTTGGCGAAAACGATGCTTGCTTTGAGCTCCCATCGTCCGACCTCCCTCGGTCCTCGGTCCTCGGTCTGGCAAAAGGAACCGGTCATAGCGATGGCTTCCCACCTGCCTAGGTCTTGACGGTCATCACAGGAGCATTGAGGTGTGTGATTCTCGTTGCTCCTTGGTACGCAATCTGGTTCATGACGTTCATGAATCATCATGAATTTCTCTTGTTTTATGATCGCAATGTGTACTAGACTAGACTACGCCGGTTGCAATTGTTTGTCAAATAGGATCGAGGGTTCTTTGCTCAAAGTTCAACGATCAAGTAGAAGCAAATAGATGAGATATGGAAGAATGCGGTCGAAAGACTAGTCATGTTGAGAAAGCACCCTTGCAGTCAAGAGCAAGATGAATGAACGATTGAGACCTAAGGCCTCTAAGAAAGCGCTGTAAAGCACAGCTGGGAATTGGCACACATTCCGCATTCCTTTTCGTTCATGGGGTCTCATTGTGTGCATTCTTGAAGTCCCAAAGTCTTGTTGTCAGGTCACGGTCGTTGGTATTTTTTTCTTGCCACTTCAGGCATGGCATGTGTGAAGTCAGATGAGATTTGTCAGATTTGTTATTATATAGTTGTATAACAAAAAGAATCGGTGTTTCTTTTAAACATCGGTTGCTTTAGTCACCCTGCCTACAGTTGCTCTTTAGCGCCGTGTTCCTCTTCTTTGGTCACCTTGGCTGGTACTACGTTCGTGCGAGGCAAGGTGCCCGTTGGTCGCTGACGTCGTCACTGTCTAGCAAGATAGGAAAATACACCTCACATCCACTGCCTCATTCGAGATGTAAATGTTGTCGGAATTTGGTGGGATTGCATACTGGTATGATTCTGATTGCATGTTCCATCATTTTCCCCCATAGTCCCTGGTCAGTCTGTGAATAGTAAAATAGCTCTCAGGCTTTCGCAAGCTAGAAAGTTCCTTTCGAATGTAATTACAAGACAAACCAGCGCGATTGGGGGCTGCTCATTCCAGTTGTTGGGGATTGAGTGCTATCGGCAGGTGCATCCCCTTGTTGATAAGTTTTGGTGAGGCATTCTGAATTGAATTTGGCTTTGCGAAGAGCTATGAATATTGCCCACAGTACAAGCTCCATGTTATGGCATTTGTTACCATTGCTGCAACTGTCACTGCATCGCACTGCTACTGCTGGTGGTGGCCGCGGCGGCGATGGGGCGGTTGCAGTTGTGTGTCTTCCTATGTAGCCCCACAAGAAAGCTGCTCCTAGTAGCGTTCTTGTTCCTAGTTCTGGCATCGTGGTTCCCACTCAATGTGCCACAAGTACTGGCGGTGTCACCCACACGGGTCCTTTTGCTCCAATATGGTGCACTCCTCCGCACGTTTGCCAGGGGATGCATGATGCCACAAGGCTACATGTTCCTGGCACTATGTTATGTCACTGAGCTGCGCTTGAGTTTGGCTTAGCCATGGGTAGAGACCGTTCCTGTCTTGAGAACAACGTGAAGCTCAGAAGACTGACTTGCAGAGTGATTTGTGCAGAAGATACAATTGTCCCTTCCTTTGCTCTCTCATAACGACTTGACACAGGTGGCGGGGGCAGCAATACAGATTGCAACGATGAAGTCTATTTGGAGCTTTCTCATTTCTATCCCTTGGCTGGTTCTCGCCCCAGATCAAGAAAAGTCCTCCATCATTTCTATTGTGATGCTTCTTTCGTTCTATGCTGGACTGTTTAGAAACAAGCTTTGGAAGACTGAACACAAACTCCGCAGGCTTCATTGATCGCTCAGTGCTATGGATGCCTTGGTCTTTCTGGATTTCTCGGTGGGGCACCTGCGCCCAGCACGAATGCGGAGCAGCCTGCTTCAGCTCCTACAGCTCCAGCTCAGGCGGATTGAGATCCGGAAGAGTGAAGTGGTTGACCAATACTAGGAGCAATGAGGACGCTACTGGGGGCGCTCCTGGCCTTACTACTAGTAACAAGAAGCTACTAAGTTACTAGTAGCAAAATTGACAAACATATGTTCTTTTCCCATCTAAGCCTTCTGTTGATCAGTTCGGGGCAGCTAAAGCCACATCTAAGACTTAAGCGTAGCATGTATACACATAATAGCCTCCCTCCAACAACTACCTTTATTGTTGTTTTTATGCATTGGTATTTGCAGTGTTTTGAGAAGAGTGCACATGCTGTCCCTAAGGGCAAGACCGTTGATCACCTGCAGGCCTAACTGCATTCGTTGAACGTTTGGAGAGACGTACTGATCTCACGCTGATCTCACGAGCTCTTCGATTGGTGTCTCGGCGTCTTTGGGATTGAAGTGGTGACCACAACACTCAAGACAATCATCGGATCAGGTGGTTGAAGAATGCTTGTTCTTTTTTCTTTAGCTCTTCCCAGGAGTCACGAAAGGTATTTTGTGTGGTTCGGAACATTCAGAATGCCTAGAGGAATGAAAAGACATAATGTGGAACATGGATGAATTGGTCTTTCTGGACTGAAAGGATCATCCTCCTGGTTTTGAGGCTGAAATGCACAAAATTCGAAACCTTGACCTTTGGACTTGCAATATAATGCCCAAGTACCATAGTAGTAAGTTCAAAAAACATATAGAACAATAGATATGTGTATATATATAGTTCGAAATAGATGCAATCATATTATGTGTTCAATATTATTGTATCACGAAAGCCAGCCCATATGTCTTGTTTTGGCGAACGAAGTGAGATAAGGGGGTGCAGGGGGGAAGAGGCCCAAATGAGGCAGCAACGCCCAAATGAGGCAGCAACGTTTTTCTTTTTTTAATTGAAAGGACACATGCAAAAGTGGAACTTGTTAACTTTCCACGAAAGCTTTGGCGAAGGTTATGTTTTTGTGTATAGGCCCCATTCAACAAAAAAATTACTTTACTTCGAGTGATCCCCACCATTACATTTCAATCAGTTGTTTTGATGCCATAGTGAGGAGCATGTTGCCATGGTCGTGAGTATTGTAGTTCTCGATTTTGCTTGTGGGTCCTCGGGTTGTGCGTTGTGGTTGTGTGTTGTGTGCTGTGTTGTGGTTGTGTGCTGTGTTGTGGTTGTGTGTTTGTGGTTGTGTGTTTGTGGCTGTGTGCTTGTGGTTGTGTATTTGTGGTTGTGTGTTTATGATTGTGTTTGTGATTGTGGTTGTGGTGGTGTGCTGTGGTTGAGGTCCGGCAGGGAACACTTGGGCCTGGAGCTCGCAGTTGAGGTCCGGCAGGGAACACTGGGCGCAGGGAACACTCGGCGTGGATGGTCGTGGTTGAGGTCCGGCAGGGAACACTGGACGTGGATGGTCGTGGTTGAGGTCCGGCGGAGGAGGACGAGAAGGAGAAGGAGATGGGGCTGACATAAAATCTAACAACCCTCACCTGACAGGTGGGGAGCAATGATCGAATAAGGATACGGGCGGGCCAAATACTGCGGGGAAGAAGGCGTGGTGGAGAGTGTGAAAAAGTGTCGGTTTTGGGGTCTTCGTGGCTGGATGGTTTGCATCATTTGCATTCTGAGCGCGAGGAATAGCTAGATGGAACGGTGGATGGAAGATGAAAGGGGATGGGTGGATGGATGGAAGAGGAGAGGATACCAGAGAATAGACTTGGATGTTGGGGGATAGGTGGCTGGATAAAAGCAATGCTTGAGAAGATATACCATCTATTCTAGGAACACTCATTTTTTGGAGTAGTTGGAAGGGCTGATCAGTGACAACTAAAAACGGACGCCTCTTTAGGTTGCTGGTTTTTTTTAGGGCTTGTGATGCTTGTAGGTAGGTTGATGGATTGCTAGGTGGATGGATGGTTGGGTGGATGGATAGATGGATGGAAACACTGATGAGTTGCAGAGATAGAGAGGTAGATGAACAGATGGGGACAGAAGGGTTTGTGTAGAACGTGGATAGGTCATGGATGGGTAGTTGAAGGGATAATTGGACGATGCCGAATTATGAATGTATCCGGTGGAGACGGAATAGACAAATAAATTGGAAAGATTGGAGGTAGATGGAGAAATACTTTGAATAGGGAAATGGATAGCTAATGAATCGGAAAATCAATGGAAGGAAAGAGAATATGAAAGGGAATATAGAATAGGAAAAAGAATAAATATAAGTATGAAGCATAAGAATTAATTATATTGTCAACGATAAAATATATATTGTATATATTTATGAATATATTGAAAAATATTACCAAACTATTGAATAATTTGATTATAAGGATCTATTAAATAATTATAATATCGGAAATTGGAATATATTTATATATTTTTTATTGATTATTTTATTATTGGAATAATATATATATTTTTAAATTGATATGTTTTGATTTTTATATATTTATTTCGATTAATTATATATATATATATTATATAAAAATAATTGATGAATTAATAATGATGAAAATATATTATTATTAGAATTTGAATGATATATTTAAATTTGTATTTGTTTATTTTGATATATTTATTTTATACAATTATCGAAAAATATTATGTTATTCGAATATATATTTAAATATAATATATCTAATATAATATGATTAATTATATATATATAATTTAATATATTTATATTGATTTAAATATATTAATAAATATGTGTATATCTTTTATTGTTTTGAATTAATTTCGGGCCGATTAATGATATTAATTTGTATATTTTCTTAATTGGAATGGATTATATTTTAAAGAAGAAATTATAATTGATAAATAAATATATTTCTATAAATGTTGTATTAATATGTAAATGGATGGTGGTTATAAATATAATATATTTTTTGATATATATTTTGGTTGAATTTATTTAAAAAAAATATATTTTAATAATTTATTATTGATATTTTTTAGGAATCGAATCGAAATATCGATAATATAAGCATATTATATATTTTTTTATAGATTGATATTTTATATTTTGAATTTATTTATTCGATATATTATTAATAATATAAAATTGCTAAATTTGAATAAATATAGCTAAATATCAAAATAAATAAATATTTAAATTCGAATTATATTGATAAAGTCTTTAATAATGGATATATTGAGAAATTTTTATAATAATGAAAAAAATATAATTGAATTTGATTTTTGAAGTGCGTAGTCGTGAATAATTAATGTATTATTATTTATAGTATATTTATATTCTTCGAAATGGATTTCGATTGCGTAGATTCGTTGAATTTGAGGGCTCGCGGCGGGAGATTCTGGAATTGCGTTCTCGTTGTGGTGCCGCGCATTTTCATATATATGGGGATTATTTTTGTAACAGATGCAATATTTTGAATATAATGATGATCGTCGAGGAATTCAGATTTCGCAATAGAATTAATGAATCGGGATTTTTAGGCGTATGATTTATTTGCAGATTTCGTGGCAAGCACAGCACTTGGCAAAGCTCGAAATACAGATATCATGGTAGGTACAATATTTGGTGAATTTCAATATGCAAATTTCGTCGTAGGCGTAATACCTGAAAATTGTGAAAAATCTCGAAAAGCAGATTTCATGGCAGGTGCAGCGCTTGGGGAATCTCGAGGGGTAGATTTTCATGGTAGGTATAGCATTGAGTGAACCTCGAAATGCAGATTTCATGGCAAGAACAATAATTGGTGAACCTCGAAATGCAGATTTCGTGGTAGGCGCAGATCTTGAAAGCCTCGAAATATAGATTTCGTGGCAGGTACAGCACTTGATGAACCTCGAAATGCAAATTTCGCGGGAGGTATAGCGCTTGGTGAATCTCGATATGCAGATTTTTTGGCAGGCACAACATTCTATAATCCTCGAAATGGAAATTTCGTGATAGATATAATATTTAGTGAATTTCGAAATGCAGATTTCGTGGCAAACACAATAATTGGTAAAGTTCGAAATGCAAATTTCGTAGCAGACGCAGCACTTAAAAAAATAATAATGGCAAATGCAATAATTGGATGATAAATCTCGACATTTAGATATCGTGATAATCGCAGTGTTTGATGAACCTCGAAATTCAAATTTCGTCGCAAATATTGGACTTAATAAATATCTAAATTTTAATTATGAAATAATCATTATTATATTTATATTATATTATATTCATATTCCAATTGCCTCATATTTTTATTCTCATCCGTATTCACTCTCACTCGCATTCACTCTCCCACTCTCACTCACTCTCCCACTCTCACTCACTCACTCACCCTCACCCACACTCACTCTCACTCACACTGGCACTCACACTCACTCTCCCACTCTCACTCACACTCACACTCCCTCTCACCCACAGTCACTCACACCCACCTTCACTCTCATTCATGCTCCCACTCATTCATTCACCACCACCGCTACTGTCACCATGATCCCCACTTTCGTCACCACCATCACCTTTCTGGACCCCAATGCATCTAGATCTCTAGACTTTCTATTTACAGACCTCAGACACACTGTTTGTTATCTTTTTCCGGGATAATTGATATATATTATTTGATTTTTAATATATTGTCGAATATATCCATCAATAATTGTATTTGATATATTTCGATATATTAATATAAAATTGATTTATAAATTGTTTTATTATTTATTTTTAAAATAAACATCTTAGACTAATTTGATTAATAACATACATAAATATATTAATAATCATATTCTAATATATTATGAATATACCAAATAAATATGTTTAATTAAATTAATCTAATTTTTAAAATTATATTTAATGCAATATTTTTATTAATAAATTATATTTATCGTCGTCTAAATCGGGATTCTTTAAAAATAAAAGAAAATTTACAAATTGTTCGTAGGATCTTCGCGAAGCTTTCGCGCGTGGGATTTGCTACTATCGGCGAAAATGATTTTCGTTGGGACTACAGATTTTCAAGAAACCATGCTGTTGTTCTAACAGGTCTTACATCCTGTAATTATTGATATATTGATTATTAAGGATCGGGAAATCAACCACTCAAACCACTTTTTGGGTCGTTTTGGTTGGGAACAATTCTCCATAAACAAGAGATTGATCAAATCAATTTGTTCAAATTTCTAATTTATTTTTTCCCGGGCCGGCAAAAAAAACAAGATTCAGACTTCCAATTTATCTTTTTCCCGGGCCTAATAAAAAACAATTTAGTTCAAATATATAATGATTTTTCTCGAATTAATTTCCAATTTTCTTATTTTCGGATCCGACAAAAATAATGCATTTCGTGAAAATATTAGTTAATTCGCCAAGAAAAACAAACACAAATTAATTCCAACTTCAAACTTATTTTTCTGAGATTTAAAATATATAAATTGTATAAAAATTTCAAAAATTCATTTATATCGCCCGAAAAAGAACAACTTATTTCATCAATATTCAATTGCTTCCTCCAACCGAAAAATCATATTTTAATAGAAATAGAATCGAATATATATAATATTATATATTATCATTTATCAATTTTATATTTTTTGAGTTAATTTTAATTTTATATATTTTAAATATAATCCAAAATAATTCAAGTAAAAATATCCAATTCTAAAAAAATCATTATATAAAAAATAGTTAAATATAGTAATTTTTCCAAATACCAAAAGAATGCCAATAATATTCGAAT